TTCTCGTCACTCTAGCCTATTCAGGTCGTCTCAACCTCCGTGGTGGCTCGACGCGACACTCCCTCGGTGGGATCTTCGTGTGGACGACGACGACTACGACTACTACTGCTCCCTACGCTTCCAGGGTCGCCTTCAAGGGCCGGACCCCTCCACTCGTCTCGACTCCGCTCGACTCTGAATTGCTAACCTCATTCGTTGCGTTATTCTGTTTCTGTTCTAATTAACTGCTATTTCATAAACTCTTTCATTTTATTCCGTGCAGTTCAACACGCTATCGCTGGTGGAATTCTAGACTCCCTTACATGGGGGCCGAACCGGCCACTAGCTGATAGTCGTGTGTCTACTTCGTTGTGCCATTTCGAGACTACCGTAAGGCAGGGGTAGTCTAGAGATCAAGTGGCGTACGCAGGAGCCACTAAGAGCTGAAAAGGAAAGAGCCCGTGCCTTCGGAAGTTGGTGGCACCGTATCATGGAGAAAGAATCTGATGTGAACTTTTCCAGAGAGATGGTCCTGCTGGGCGAGAGCACCGCGATGGATACGGAGAGTGCCCACCCTGGAGAGCAGGTAAGAGCTTGTATGGCGTCTCATGCTCAAGAGAGGTCACTGAGAGGAGAGCGCTGTTTGCAGATTTTGTGGCAATTACAGAAGAAGATAAACGAGACACTGTGTGAGTCTCGGTTATCGAAGGAAAAGAGGGGTGAGATCCAGAAGGAAATGACCGTAACCATTAGCCGGATAGAGGGGATCATGAGAGATGATCAGGGAGGATCAAGGATCTCCCCGGAGCTAGCGATGGAAATAGACAAAATATTGACCCAGAGAGGGATCGAAACAAGTGAGGAGTGGAGTGAGTATATAAGAACCATGGAGAGAGATGGGGAAGTGTTAGCAGACATATGTGAGATATTAAAAACCGACGTATTGCAGGTCAGAGGTGAAGTCGAAACGCTCCGTGCAATGGTTCAAGGCCAGCACGTGGGGGAGCACGGTAATACGAGTTTGGCTTGCCCTTTGACCGGAAATCGTACTGATGGGACTCAAAGTAGCCTATTACAGAAGAGGACGTCTTCGACTGGACAACTATCGGAAGGGTGCTCGAGGCCACTTTTGGAGAGGCAAGCAACGGCGGAGCAAGCACTGGACAAGCTCAGGTGGGGTTGCTTCTCAGTTTGCGAGTTATCTGAGGGCAATGGCTTGTCCAGATCCCGGAGTATTTAGGGGGTCTAAGAACGAGAACTTCAATGAATTCGTGAGGCGATTCAAGAGGAGTATGAGGGAGTAGTGAAGTGTGAGGAAAACCTTCTGGAGATCCTGAGTGATGACCACCTAGGCGGAAGGGCGAAAAACATGTACAAGGCGCTGCCCAGGCTGGTAAAAGAGCAAGGATTTGGGGCAGTCGTAAGAGAGATGTCTAGGTTGCTGTCGCAGGAGTCCACGGCAGGCAGGCTGCGGGCACTGACGGAGCTACGAGCGTTAAAGATTAGGCCCAATCAAGACGTGGCTGACTTCTGCGTGGCTATAGAAAGTTTGGGACAGCAAGCATATCCAGAGGGGAACCCTGAAGATCGGTCATTAGAATATGCCCAGATTCTCTTGAGTAACCTCGGGGACTGGCCCGAACATTTCCAGTTAGTGAGTGCCCTACATAAGGTAGAGGCTCATAGGGCATATGATGAGATTAAACAACTAGCTCTAAGTATTGAGCAGTCAAAACGTATGCTGAGTGCAAACAGCCACGCCGGCAAGGCAAGCTGGAAAAATAGATCCACGCAATATCGGGCTGGTTACGAGGGTGTAGGACTGGTCCAGGCGAGAGCGTGGGAGAGGCAAGAGCCATACGGGAAGGAGTCAAGGGAAACAGGAGGGAGTGGACCTCAAGTCGAGGCACGCAAAGCGCTACCTGGTAATAAGGCTATGGCCAAACCCAAGAGCAACGAGTCTAGAAAATGCTACACTTGCTCAAGGTATGGGCACTTAAGTCGGGATTGCCCGCAGCGAACAACGAGGGTGAGTAAGGTGGAACTCAAAGGATCAGGGAAAGGCCTACAGTGTCAAGCATTATTCAACCAGGCGAGTAGCTTGGGGATAGCGGTGAAGGATGAGAATTGGTCAAAGAGTACCCTCATTGGGGATCGAGTGGTGGCATCCCTGACCCTTCTCGATAGGACAAGTTCTGCATTAATTGATACCGGGTCAATGATAAGTATTATACCAGTGGACGTGTTAGCGAAGGCGCAGCAGGACGGTTATGATGTGGATGCACTAGAAGTGATAGAGGAGTGTAGGTTGAGCCCAGTTTTTGATGCCTCGGATAATAGAATGCGTTTCCTAGGTGCGGTCATTATAGAAGCCGAACTGCAAGGAGGAAATCGGTGTAAAGTCGCCTTTCACATTACCAAAAGAAAGGAGGCAGAGATTATTTTGGGTACCAACGCGCTAGAGGATTTAGGGGTAGAAATATCTATAGGGAAGAAAGACGTTGGCCGAGGGGAAGTGGATAATAGTGAGAGAGAAGGCAGAATCGCAGTAGTGAAGCGAATATATATACCACCACATGAGACAGCCCTGGTGGAAGTAAGATGTGAGGGGAACACCAAAGAAGTGGTAGATCGCGTTATATGGCCAAGTAGGGACGGAATGGCAGCAGGAGTGTTTCGAATCCAAGATGGTCAAACGAACATACCGGTCATCAATAATAGCGATCAGCCTGTACTTTTCAAAGAAGGAGAGGAGGTCGGGTCGTGGGGAACCGACAAATGGCATGATCGTTGGGAAGAATGGAATCCGCTAATGTGTGATGAGGGGGAAGATAAGCTTCCCGGAAAAGGAGAGACTGGAGAGATTGCTAAAATTCATAGGTGAGAATATGGGATCAGGCACAGTAGATCCGGAAATCAAAGGATTACTATTGAAGTATCCAGACGTGTTTTCGATCTCTGAAAAAGAATTAAGTCAGACCAACTTAGTGAACATGACTATTGACACAGGAGAAAGTGCCCCAATAAAAATGAAAGCTAGACCAGTACCGTTAGGAATAAGGGCTAAGCTTAGGGAGCTCTTAGCGGACTTAGTGGAAAGAAAAGTCATAGAGCATAGCAAATCGGACTGGGCGTTTCCCATAGTACTCGTAGAGAAGAAAGATGGCTCGATCCGTCTATGTGTAGACTACAGAGAGCTGAACAAAAGAATTCAAGCTGGATGCCTACCCACTTCCTAGTATAGAGGCAGTTCTACAGAGTCTGTCCGGGAAACGTTTCTTTTCGACCTTGGATTTAAGTAGTGGGTACTGGCAAATACCACTCGCGGAGGACGCCAAGGAAAAATCAGCGTTTGCAACACCAGACGGACTCTTTCAGTTCAGAGTGACACCCTTCGGGTTAAGCACGAGTCCAGCGGTATTCCAGAGATTGATGGATACGGTGCTGGGAGATCTGTTAGGCGAGGAGGTCTTCTGTTACATAGACGACATCATGGTCTGTACGGAATCAAGGGAGCGTCACCTTGAAATGCTGGAAGAGGTTTTTGTGAGGATGAAAAAGGCAGGGCTTCGGCTGAAGGCGCAGAAGTGTTACCTGTTAAGGCACAAAGTAGCTTTCTTGGGACATATTGTTGACAGCCAGGGAGTTCATATGGATCCAGAAAAGGTCGTTGCGATAAGTGATTATCCCCCACCAAGAAACGTAAAAGAGCTTCGCACGTTCCTCGGGATGGCATCTTTCTACAGGAAATTTTGCCTAGGTTTTTCGAAGTGCACCGGCTGCTTGTTCAACTTAACCTCAACGAAAGTTAAATGGGTATGGGAAAAGGAGCACGATCAAGCGTTTGAGGAGGTGAAAAGGATGATTATGAGTGCGCCCGTCCTCAAACAACCGGACATAGAAGCAGCACGGGAGGGCAGAAAGCCATTTCTGATCTGTACGGATGCATCTACCTACGGTCTTGGGGCTGTTCTATCTCAGGAAGGGGAGGACAACCAGATTCACCCAATTTTTTTTGCATCGAAAAGCCTGAGTAAGGCGGAAAGAAAATACCACGTTACAGATTTAGAGGCGCTTGCCCTAGTTTTCGCGGTACGACGGTTCCACATGTTCATTTATGGTCTACCAACGGTGGTAATGACAGACCACCAACCGTTGACAGCTCTTTTTAAGCGTAGTAACGTGTCCGCACGTGTGCTGAGGTGGTCGATGGAGCTCCAGAGGTACAAACTGGAGATTCAATATGTTAAAGGGAAAGCCAACGTGGTTGCGGACGCACTCAGCAGGGGGCTACCAACTTCAATGATGTCTCAGTCCTTGGAAGGAATAGATGAGGCAGTAGTGAACGCGATTGCCGCTAAAGACGGGTCTAAATGGTTAGCCAAACTAAGAGAGGATCCACACCTCGCAGAAGTAGTTCGACTGGTGGAAGAACAAAAGTGGGAAGAAGTAGTGAGGCTCCCAGGAGAAAAGAGGACGCTGAGGATAGCGGACTTTGCAGTCGAAGAGGGCGAATTGAAATTGTATTTAGAGAGTGGGAAATCGGTATGGGTGGTCCCGAAACCATATAGATATGAGATATTCCGAGAGTCACATAGTGGCGTTCTGGCAGGGCACTTTAGTGCGCATAAGATTACGAACAAGCTGAAAAAGGAAGTTTACTGGCCCGGAATGGCTCAGGATATTGCTAGGATGGACCAAAGAATGTCAGAAATGCTTTGTCCACAATCCGCAAGAGGTGATGATCCCCCTTTGAAGCCAATAGTAACAGCAAGGCCATATGAAATAATAGGCATAGACGTGTTAGAACTAGGACCGACTAAAAATGGGAACAGGTACGCGGTCACAGTTATAGACCACTTTTCGAAGTACGCCGCGGCATACCCTGTTAGCAATAAGTCAGCAGAGACCATCGCCAAGACACTTTTCATCAGATGGATTGCGGAAGGTTGTCGATGGCCTAAAACGATTCTCTCGGATAGAGGTGGGGAATTCGTGAACAACGTGATGGAAGAAATTACAAAGATCACAAAATCACACATGTCACCACAAAGGGATACAACCCCGAGAGAAGAACGGGTTAACCGAAAGACTAAATGGAACCATAGTAGCTATGTTGAGGAGGAGCACGGTCATCCCCACAGAATGGGACTCGAGACTACCATTTTGCATGATGGCCTACAACATGACCCCTCACAGCGCAACCGGCGAAAGCCCATATTTTTTGCTCCACGGCGTAGATCCCGTCTTTCCGTCGGAGATTATCCCAAACGGAGGAATAACGTGGTACTCTATGGACAGAACGTTGGATGAGTATAGGGCAGAAGATTCTACAAGCAGTGGCAGAAGCCCATGAAAGAGTGAGAGAGTATAACGGTAGAATACGCGAGCAGATGAAGAAACGTTATGACAAGAATAACAAGGTAGAAAGCAGAACATACCCGAAAGTAGGAGACCGAGTTTATGTACTAGCCCCAAACGAGAAAGCGCGGAAGTTCTCATCCGAAACTGGCCTGTGAATGGGCAGGGCCCTTTCGAGTAATTAGAAGCAAGTGACAATTCAGCCTTAGTAACTAGAATAGGCGAGAACAGCGAGCCAATAAGAGTTCAATTTGACGCCTTGAGGATAGTCCCTAAAGAAGTATCGGACGATAGAGTAGACACGAAACATAATAGGGGCCGTAGAAATGGAAAAAGTAGAGTGAAAGTGACTAAAATTCATTGTCCGTATTTCAGAGGCGCCACTATAAAGGACGTCGTGGACAAAGGGCACCTACAGTTCCAGTGCCTCGACGACTGCTTCTCGAAAGTTACTCTCGGCGACATTCATGGCGTGGCATTTCCGGGGGCTTTCGCAAGAAAACCCTTTGAAGACGTGTGATCCGCTTGGAAAGTGTCGTCTATTTTTATCAGAACGGATATCAGCGCCTCGGAAAAGATTCGCAGATGCAAGGAACGAGTGGTCACCTTGGACACGGAGGCACTTCATCATGTATTGAAGGTGGCATACGAAGTGTGCACGGAATGGACCGAATTTACATGCTCGAACGTGGCCATTGCCAAGCACCCAGCTGTTGAGGATATCTGCGTGACGGATTTTTACCGGATCGCCTTCGAAAAGCTCAAGGAGGAGCTGAAGAAAGGAGAAAGGCCGACGAGGATCACGAAGAAGGGGCCGGTTGGGTTCGCAGCCCCTGAATCGGCCACACTTCTGGAGAAAGATGGGCCAAGACAAGGGCTCATCACGAAAGTTGTCACTTCATATGCAGCACTGAAGGACACGCTGGTGGCCTGGAAAAGATGTGGGACGTGGCTCTTAGTCTATCCGATCGACAGCAAAGTCGAAAGTGCCACAATCGAGGAGATAGCACGTCTGACGAAGTCACACTTGGAGGAAGGGGGCAAAGTGATCACGGTATGGGCGCCGGTGACAGCTCAGAACCTTTCGAAATGGATCTCGGTAAGTAGGATGTGGCAGGCAGTCGATAGAATTCTACTGGACTTCGGGGGTGAGGAGCAGGTAATGCTCACGGCGAGCAACAAGGTGCTGGAAGGAAAACTTTTCCTAGAAGCGGGGTGTCCGGAATCGGTCAATCATTTCCATAGGCCATACCACGGTGTGGCAGCAGCCAAACTGCTGTACGAGGTAGTACGAAAGAGGGTCCCGCAGGCAGGGCTACCACCGCTAGGGACAGAGCGGTCGGTGAGGACACCGACTCCGCCGAGGGGGGGCGTGTTGCGGAGGAGAGTCGAGGGAGAGAAGTCCCCGGAAAGGCGACCCCTAAAGCGGAGGGCCTACTACTAGGCGTGCGATGACCACGCGGGGGGTCACAGAGCGAGAGGCAGTCTGATCAGAGCGACCCCCCAAGAGCGAAGGCGTAGGTCAAGCGGGTCAAAAACGGGCGACAGAGAGTTCCAATACCGAGTCAGTAGTCCCTCTTTTGATCGCGGGGAGCGCCGTGACGCGCGGAGGAGACTGTATAAGAAGGCTTCCAGATAAAAGTAAGTAAGGGTCCCCTTCTGTCCTCGCCTATTTCAGGGTAGTCTCACCTCCGTGTGATCGAACGCCGACACTTCCTCGCGTGGGATCTTCGTGTGGACGGACGACGCTTACGCATACACTGCTCACTACGTTCAGGGTCGCCTTCAAGGGCCGGACCCCTCCACTCGTCTCGACTCCGCTCGACTCTGAATTGCTAACCTCATTCGTTGCGTTATTCTGTTTCTGTTCTAATTAACTGCTATTTCATAAACTCTTTCATTTTATTCCGTGCAGTTCAACACGCTATCGCTGGTGGAATACAGACATCCTTACCAAATTATGAGACAAAAGGGTGGTATGAAACGGGTCGGTTGTGCGAAGGAGTACCGAGTAGATACATGAGCCGCTATCTATCGTCGGTTTATTGGCAAGGATGCTACGGAAACTCGTCGAATTGCTCGCTGAGCTGTTAAGATGAAGGCTTTCTTAGGGCAGTTGATGCGTTCCACTTCGTTTTTCTTCCCCACTATATAGCGCCTGCTGATTTTAGGGTTCGGACACCCAAATTATCGTGCGAACTGTTTCAAGAAACATGAAAACGGTTAGAATTGTACTGTTGATCGTTTTCAGCTAGAATTGCTTGTTGACGTGGCAACTAGCTTTTCGTTGTAACACATACGTTCAGCACTTTGGCCGATTCTGCAGAAGTAGTCTCAACATCAGTTTTTGAATGTTTTACGATTTACGATTTATTTATCGCGCTATGAAGAAACTCAGATATAAGAGGGAACAACATACTAAAGCAACTCGATAAGTAAAACACTGTAAGGTCTCTTAAACTGAAAAGTCCTGCGAAGTTGAGAGGGAAAACAGCGCAGAAGGGCAGTGGGCGCCAACACTGC